GTGTGTGTGTGTGTGTGTGTGTGTCCGAGAGTACACGAATGTGTATGTATCTCCCTATCCCCGTCCTCGCCACACACCGTCTCTTTTACTTTTTAATTGAAAATTAAATAATCTCTTGTAAAACATGAGAAAACACACCCTGCGACAAGTTTGCAAGCACACAGACACTTATATAGAATATTGCTCTTATGTATCCATGTGTTTGTTCATTCATGCACCTTTAAATATGTTTGCATCAAATTGTACAGATATCTCGCGTTATAAAACATATAATGAAAACACCCAAGCCATGGAACAGCTGAAAATCTCTTTAATAAATCGTTTATGCTCCTTGAAAATATGCATAACAACAACACCAACGCACACATCTCTTTCAATGATGCTCGTTATTATCGCGTGTTGAAAATCATTTAACATTTTCGCAGAACGTCATCACGAAGAGCTAGCATTCATACGTATTTAAAAGAAAAGCTTGTCTTCTCGTAACAAACGAATCTATTTCTTCAACCCATGTTTGACAGAAGGGTTTTGGACTCCTTTTTTTTCTTTCGTAACACTCTTACTTTCTGGTCTTGGTAATGCAAACAAAATTTGTTGCTATCTCGGCGCATTATGAATGAAGAAGCTTTGAGCTGGGGTTAAGAGTCGTTTTGCGTGTTGTTGTTACAAGAAGGAGCCGTGTAGACCACCCTGTGATCTGTTTTTCAAACTGTCGTTCCTTGAAACTTGAAGTGTTGATGATAGAGTTGGATGTTTCTCTGATATGCGAGTAATTTTGTGCTGCCAAGAAACATGGGGCGAAAGAGGATAGATGCGGAAAGAAAGCCAAATGAGATCGGGGTGTGTTTGAACGATTGTTAGCTTTAATACTTTCCTTTTTAAATGAGGGTTTTTGTGTTGCTGTTGTTATTGCTGCTGCTGTTGCTGTTGTTGTTGTTGCTGCTGCTGCTGCTGCTGTTGCTGCTGCTGCTGCTGCTGCTGCTGCTGCTGCTGCTGCTGCTGCCGTTGCTGTTGCTGTTGTTGCAGTTTTATTGTGTCTTAGAGGGTAGTTGGAAACAAGGCTTAAGCATTGACAAGTGAGTGGAAGAACAAGAGAAGAAAAAGGATAGAAGAAGGCAGATTCTCTGCTGTATAAATGATTTAATCTACCCTCATATCCTTTTGTGCACTTATAGATTATCTTTAAAAAATTACCTACACACCAATACCTTTATTTCACTGTTTGATTCAGCTTGAGTGACAAGGTTTCTTTGATAGCAACCCCCCCCCCCCCTTTCTAAAAAAAACCAACGATAGCATCCTTATTCACACCACGCTATTTTCCTCCTGTCGGGGGATCTTGAACATTATACATCAAGAAGTCAATTGTTTTTAAATCTGTGCAAGGAAACATCCCAACAGTGTGTTTGCTTTCTGTCTGTTAGATGTATCAATAAAATTGTGAAGGAAGCTAAGGGATGTAATGCAATGCGCAATTCTTCAACAATGAAGAGCTTCAAGAGAACGGTGTTTTATGGAATTTCTATTACATCTAACTTCGTCTAATGACCATTTATTTTAAGTGTTGGTTTTTCTTTGTTATGTTGTTGTCATTTTGTTGGGGGGGGGGGGGGGGGTTCCTTTTTTTTAGAATCAAGTGTTTAAATCAGGATATTGCCTGATCGGCCAAGAATAATTTTTCTACAGCATTTGATTTGTTAGCGTTTTTCTTTTCTTTTAAGTTTGTTGATAATATTCTGTTGTTTCTGAATCGTTGAAAGCTTCCATCATACCAAGGAGCAATTTTTCACAGATGAAAACGTTCTTTTTTGTTAACACATTCTGTCGTTTTTAGCCTCCATTTACGATTAACTTCTTCTTGGTTAAAACAAAAGTTATTTTGATGGCAATGTTCAAAGTCTACTTGCAGTCTTTGTTCTTTTAATTTCTCTATTTATCTATCTAAATGTCATAATGCTCTTATTTGTTTTTTGTATAATGCATTCTAAATTACATTTCAAAGGTAATAGCCCATTCATTCTATTTATCTATTTATCTTTTTATCTGTTTACCTATTTCTGTTCATTTATTCGTTATTTTTGCATTATTTTCTTCATTCCTTGTATTTATCTGTACTTTTCCGTATTCATTCATTCATTCATTCATTCATTCATTCATTCATTCATTCATTCATTCATTCATTCATTTGTGGGTTTATTTGTTTAAAGTTTATTTTATCTCCCTGTTTATTTCTTTGCTCGTTCCTTTCTTTTGTGTGTAATCATTTTGTCTTTTTGAACGTATTAATAATATAACTTCCTTATTCGCCTATCGGTTATTTCTTCGTCTGCTTATTTATTAATTTGTCCTTTATTCCGCAATTCATTTATTTATGGCTATACCCAGTGCGTATAACAGGATGATTTCCTTTCTTTTTTGGCGGGTGGTTTGGGGGGGGCAGGATTTGGCATGGTGTTGGAGGGAGTGAAACAACAGTAATCGTCATTAAATGTTACCCTCTCTCATTATATCATTTCCATTCACTCTAACATAGTTATATATCCACTCCGACAGCCTAGAACCCACATGACAAATGTCTCCTTCTCTTGTTGCCCAAACATTTTACGCGGAGGAACATAATGCACTGTGCACTTCATCAATGCCTATATCAAAAATTGTTTTCTCGCACGGTGGGATGACAGATTGTGGGCAACCATTCATCCTTTCTCAGTCATTTTTTAAAAATCCGTTTACCTCAGACATAAGCGCACCCACAATGTAAGGCGATGACGAAGCTGAAAACGAGCTACTGGCAACACAGACAAAGAGTCTAAAGGTTTTATCTACAAAGCAATGCATTGCAGATGGAATCATTTTACTCTGAGGCTCCAAAATTTTGTACAACCTTGATAGCACCAAGTGACTCGTTGGAACAACTAGCTTGATGCTCAGTCGAAACGAATGTCACAAAAAAGACCAAAAAACGAAAAAAAGGGGGGGGGGGACAAAAAAGAAAAGAAGGCAATTTCTGTTCGATACTCTTTCACACACAGTGGCATACTGACGTTGACGAAGACGCATCTGTCACGTGTGCCATCTTTCGCTTCTATTTTATGTTCAGCTTTGGGAATATCGAAGAAAAAGGAACAGGCCTGGAACAGAATGATAAAGGAATTAAATGGCGCTTGCTTCGACGTGGAAATTATTACATTTAATTCACTGATTTATTGCCGTCAATAGCTTTATTACAGGGGATTATTTTAAGCTTCTTAACAAACTCATGTCTCTCGTAGCTATATTCACAAGTCACTCGTGCAATTAGACTGATCTATCTATCTATCTATCTATCTATCTATCTATCTATCTATCTATCTATCTATCTATCTATCTATCTATCTATCTATCTATCTATCTATCTATCTCACACACAAACACACCCTCTCTTCTCTCTCTCTCTCTCTCTCTCTCTCTCTCTCTCTCTCCCACACACACACACACACACACACACACACACACACACACACACACACACACACACACACACACATACACACACGTGCACACACAAAAGCACACAAACACAATTGATGTGCACCTCCAGAGGTTGTCCTTCCTACAAAAATCCAATGTATGTCTCTCACTAGGTCGCGGGCCACCACTAGGTTAGACTGCGGATTCCATTAGGTATCTCCCAGGCTTACTGCTTGTCTGTCACCAGGAAATAAAGACGCGAGTGCCCTGGTTTATAGTCACGTCATATCAGGAGTTTTCTTTACGGCCCAGGACCCCGAACTTTACACGCGTTCGCGGGCAAGTCTTATTCGCTTATAGTAGCACCATTGCTTAATTGCACGGAAGGAATATTAACACGGACTAAATACTGCCCACGGATCGGCGTTTGGGGGTCCGCGAGAGGCCCTTCATTAAACGCGTTTGGTGGACATTATACGGCCTTTGCTGCATCCGTTATGAGGGCAGGATGTTCGGGAACGAGTTTTTGAAACGACGCAGCCCAAGGGGATGTTTCATAAAACGAGCGTTTAACGAGACACTTTTAGATGCACCTAACCACGCGCTAGAAGCTGCGTGCACGGTCGTAAACTGAGAGACTAGAACGAGAGGCAAATTACTCAAACGTTCATAAATGTGTGCGCATGTTCATGGGACGGGAGGGGGGGTGGAAGCGAGAAAAGAAACGGAATATCAGGGAGTGTGATTTAAAGTTTTTGGTGAAATTGTGACACTCGTAGAAGGGAGGGGGGGTGAGGGGAGACATGGACAAACAGACAAATAGACGAACAGGCCGAGAAATAAACGGACAGAACGGAAAGGGATGAAGAGATAGAGAGACGGAAGGAGAGATAGAGAGAGAGAGAGAGAGAGAGACAGAGACAGAGACAGAGAGAGACAGAGAGACAGAGAGAGAGGGGGGGCGAGGAGGAGGAAGGGGGTGTGGAGTGTACCATGTCCAAGCAATCGAGTGAGAATAGGTGAGGAAAAATAAGTGACATATTGTGCATGTCCCCTTCTCGAAAATAAGGACACTCGCCCTAGGGAGTTTCACTACCGATCTCCAACTTATCTTTAACATAAAATCTTTTCTCAATACTATTAATATCCATAGCACTGAATACGAGTTGAGTTATAATGTATGGCCATTTGACGTTATTATGGTTTACATTTTGCCGAGAACATGTGAAGACTCAGGATACAAAGAACATGAAAAGATTACCCAAAAGCCATGCTCATTTGAAGGCATGTTATTGCATAAGGCTTGCTCGCCACATACATGTATTTACTTCTTCTTTTATTCTTTCGTTCTTTTATTCGTTTATAACTTTTTCAAGTTTGTCTTTAGGTTTGTTTTTATCAAGACATGTTCTTATTTATCCATTAATTTATCTTAGAATGAATTATTAATTTGTTGTTGTTGTGGTTGTTTTTGTTGTTGTTGTTGTTTTAGGCGATCCCGCTAAACAAATTCCCCTTCATTTAATTTCTTCTCTTTCCTTTCTGCCCAGGTGTGGTTCCAAAACCGGCGGACAAAATGGCGGAAGAAACACGCCGCGGAGATGGCTACGGCCAAGAAGAAGCAGGAGCAGGCGGAGGACATGGTAGGAAACTCGGAACCAGAGGATGAGAACAGCGAGCAGATGCTCAAGGAAGATTGTAACTTCTTAGACGGTGTAGATTTGTAGGGGATAGCTTTGGCATGTCCAGAGAAACCAGCTTCTTGGTGACCAGGCGTCAGGAGAACTTTTCGTGTTCGTTGAACTTCTGAGAAGCATCGCCGAGAGACCTGCTTCTTGATTTGTGAGACTTCGTCAAAAGTGTGAGCTGCTAAGAATGATCTTGTCGAAAGAAACCACGGTGCAATGTTCTTATGATAATCTCCGCAATTTTGTGTTGTTTTCGTCGGTACAATCGGTCTTCATCACTCTGTGCGAATGCTCTTGTTGCTAAATACAGCTCCAGGAGAAGTTAAGGTGGCCTTTTGAAAGCGCGAAGACTGACGACTTGGGTGCAGAGGCACACACCCAACACAACCTGTTGTCACAAATAGCTTAGTAATTGAAAGGGGGCGTGGAGGAGGGAGCTGGGGTGGGAATTTTGAATAAAAACAGTGGGGCAGTGAAACAAATATTTGAAAGGGGCATATTTGCCAAAACAAACAAAAATGTTTTATTGTCTATATGTCACTGATTTTAAAAAAATGAGAAGATTTTCTTTTGTCTTTATAACTTGAAGACAAAGCTGAGTATCTTGTTTATTTGTATCAGGATGCGTGCTAATGAATGAAGGAAACACTTTGTACATAATATAACGTTTATATACTATTCAGTCTGAGGACAGTTCCAACAAGTGGTGCAATGGTGTGCTTCTGAGATGGTTTTGTTCACGTGGTGACCTGGAGCAGTGGATTTTGATAGAAGTTCATCTTTCACCATAAATGCTGTGAGGGAAACTAGAGGAATCAAGAAAGGAAACCAATGGTTGAATCTGACGATGTATCAACAGCGTCGTTGGCTGCAGTATGTGAGGTTTTATTTAGAATGGCTCTGGTGGCGGATATGTGACAGAAAAGTAAATTCGAAGCCTCAGAAATGAGACACATCGTCCTATCATGTCATTTCTACCATTTTTCTTTGTCACAATGATTTCAAACGGTGTATATATGGCACTTCCCTGATATTGCATCATTCTGCTAAGAGTGGTTCTTGATTATTCTGACTACCCTCGATGAGGAGGTATTTTTCAGCCATGTATCTGTTCATCTATGTTTATAATTTATTACTGCAATAAAAACAAATATTCAATTCATATTCTCATGTTTTAGATTGACAAGCTTAGTATTGTTACATTTTAAAACATTTATTACTATTGACAAAAATGGCCGCTACTTAGTTTTCCCTGCAGTCTGTACTGCTGGAATCTGCGCGAAGTAAAGGTACCATGGAGGGAGAGGATCGTCACTTTCTTGGGCTTTTGTTCACTGTTTTTCTAGCGTTTGAAACATGAATAACTCCAAAACGCTACTATGTTTCGACATGAGTTCTATCTGTATTCTAAAACGGGTTTTTGTACGCAGTAAACAGAAAACACAAGCGAGAGTCAGAAGAAAATGGAATTCTGGTTGCTCTTGTGATTTATTGTTAGGAATGTTCAGCAATGAGATCAAAGCAAGTCTTCCCATAAGCTTTCAAAACCCAAAAATAGAAAGTTGGGGATATTAACTTCCCGATTATCGCCCTAAACAGCCTCTCCTTCTGCATCACGTTGGCGAGCCCCTTCAGATTTGCCCTGTTCATTTTTATCCAGAGACTCCTTCCTTCTGTTTAGACACCGCGATCTTTCTCGTTTTCCAATCCTGTGCTTTGCCAATAATTCTCGAGGAGTTTTATTGACTCAAGCTTACTCGTTTCCTCACTAATCATGAGGCAGGGGCTTTGAGGACCGGGCAACCAGCCTGATGATAACATTGAGCCCCCGACCACGTATTGTAGAGGTTGGGGAAACCTTTGTGGTACTGCCGGTTCTGGGGGACACGCCGTAGCCAGGTCGCCATCATCAATTTTGCCCGTCTCGTAGCAGCTTATCTCCAGACCTGTCATAGAGGCATTCAGCCGATCGGACGTGCAGCATCGACGCTACACACTGTGGTACACACATACACACACAATTCGTGTTTACTTGATAAAAGAAAATCTCGTGTAGTTTCTCTCAGCTTGATATTTCTAGTTTCCCTCTACATGATCAAAACCAGTTTTGATACAGTTCACGTAATAAAGATGTCAGCGTTCGGATTGCGCAAAAAGCGCGAAATTCGCGGTAAAGGAGAACGTTTTTGGGCAAGAAATAGAGCTCGGGAAGATTTCCTTCGCGTAACACACGGCCTTGGGTCATTTCACGAGGGTTGTGGCGAGGGAAAAAAATTTAAGGACTTTAATTTCAAGATAAAGAGTAATTTATGCTAAAAATCGAATGGCTATTCAGAATAATTCGATAAAGAGCCAAATTTATGATGAGCGGCACTTCAGAACAGAACAAAGGCTTGCACATACCGAGAGGCTCTAGAAGCCAGGACGAGGAAAGTCTAAAGCCATTACGGAGCTTGCTCTTCAACGCCAAGGGTCTGAAGCCAGTAGGTACTTTATTAGAGGCGCGCAGAACTGGCGATCTCGGTGAACATGCTATTACGATTATAGTTAAAGTGAAGCAGGACGCATATCTTTTGTTATCTAAGTTTGTTTTGAGGAAACATTTGCCATTTGGAGGACGAGAAAGTAAAGAATATTGGGAGATCTCCTGTTTTCTCGATTAAAGATCCCAATACCCCCC